TATAAACAGTGTGTATGAGATATTACAAAGGAAATGAGAATTTTTACAATGATTCTACTAACTTGCACAACATTTTTGAGAACCAAGCCATAATGCTGGAGAAACAGCATTAAAAAAGTCAAGGACAAAAAAAAAAAAACATGGCCAAAGCACTGAACTCCCAACTTGAAATTTAGTAGAAGACATGTGCACATACATATAAAGCTGCCAGCGTGATCACAAGACCAACCATTGTATCTGCATAGCACAGTAATCATGGCCAATAAAAATGCCTATTCATGTCCAAAAGATACAAGTGTCTTAAGAAAAAAAAGAACAACTATGAGCAAAAACATAAAACATTATATGCATAAAAAATTATATGCATAACAAGGCAGGGTCAAATCCAAGTAACAAACTTCCTTAACACCAAGGACCACTGATGGTTCATTCATGCAATCTTCTCCCTTCCTTGTAATGTCAAACGCTTCCATTATCTCTCTGGTGCATTGTCCAGATGAATAAACAAACACATGGTTTCCTCTGCCCTTGGCTAAAAGAGTAAACCCTGTCATGCTGCACTGTGAGCTGTGCACTGTCAGTTGCAGTCCCCAAGCTGCATAAGTTCACATTACTTGAACATGGCAAATTACCACGAGGAGTTTGTTGTCCTAGTGGGCTCCCGGTAAACTGTTCTCCATTTGCTCCCATCTGCATAAAAGCACTTCTGCTTGGTGCAAGACCTGTACAACGTGTATTAGATATGTTCATTGCAAACCATGTGTTGTCTATCGGGTGCCATTATCATGCATGAAGATGGGTATGTATGACAAACCGGGTGGTTCGTCAACGTTGCATGAAATGAAGACTTATCCTCTGTAACCGGTCCTGGCAATTTGCGCTTTCTTGCTCATTGTAAGGAATCCAAGGGCAGAGAAAGCCCTGCACTTGTTTAGTCATCCAGACAAATGCACCAAAGAGGTAATGAAAGCATTTTAAATTGAAAGGGAGAGAGAAGGTTGCATTAGCAAATGGTCGCTGGTTTCTAGAGATGAGGAAGTTTGTTACTTGAATTTAACCCTGCACCATTAAAGTATATAATTTTTGGACTAATATATGTTTTTGCTTGTAGTTCATTTTCTTTTTCCTTATGACACGTGTATCTTTAGGACATTCCTATCGAAAAAGCCAGTGGCACTGGCTCAGTGCCATACCTGATTACTGGACTGGTGTGGCGTTGACAATGGGACACTGGCAGTCTGCACGAAGCATGCTGGCGCTGCACACTGGGACACCCATTATCGGCCAAAATCTGGCTTTTTAAACTGTTTTTAAAAATTTTGGTCATGCGCACATCGTAATTGAGGTTGAAACACGTGCACAGAGAAAAAAAAAACTGAAAAAAATGTGGGTGAGCCAGAGTTGAACCCACTACCCCAACACATCATAGATCGTGAGCCCGACAAGCTACTCACTACACCACACCTGAAAGACGAGAATGAACATATTTTTCTTCATCTTAAAATTAATTCAGGTCTCCAACATTTCAATCTTGTCGCTTACATATTCAGTGTTTTGTCTCTTTGTGCTCGTGCCAAATTAACAGGTGATTGTTAGCTTATCTTTTGCGGGTTGTTAGCGTAGCTTGTTAGCGTAGCTTCAGATGTCTTACAGCAGTCGTAGTGACTCACTATGCCATTAGTCATACCTATGTAGAAAACATTGTTCATCTGAACTGCTCACAGAACACTGTAGATTTCGTCCCATGATAGTTTGGAAGTATTTTCTGTCCTCCTCGTTTACGTTTCACGTACGACAGCTGCAGCAGTTTACTTGAGCCGAAACGAACATTAGGCTTGGGGCTGCACTTCGTGTGCCACGGTTGCTGTGAAGATCGTAGATATTCAGTTAGAAAGAATCTAATAACCGTTAAAATGTAGCATTGATCATAAATGACCAATGAGGCGTCATATTTTCACCTTCGACTACACAAATTATAAGCTAAAAACATCGAGATTAAGCATTGCCGTGGGTTAATGCTGCCGGGGACGTACGGCTTTCTACGGTATGAGCCGGAAAGACTCGCTGCTAGAGTACGTTGGTCTTGATTATCAGACTGACACTACTGTCATAATGTGTTGCCAATTATCAGTTTTATCGATGCCGTTTATAAAATACATTGACAAAACTCAAGCAAACTTCAAGGAAAGTGCACCCACGCTAGGGGGGCATTCGTGGGTGCCCTGACTGGAGCCTTTTTTTCCCAAAATTCTCGCATGCCCCCCCCCCCCCCCCCCCCAGAGCAAGCATAGTCAAAACACGACGCATAAGTTCTGTGCCTGCTTGCCCCCCCGCATGAACACAATTGTCGTTGGTGCCCCTCTCGCCAGCAAAAAAGCCTGGCAGCGCTTGTGACGCACGCGCTCGACATATGATTGCTTCAGTGTACTTGCACATACATGGATTGCTTAACTAAAACTAAAGCTATACAGGTGTAGCACATAAATGAGAATACCATCATGTTCGTTAAATTTTACGCTCGACATCTCACGATTAAATATGAAGTCTTCCAGAAAGTGCACCGATCAGACCAAGTTTATTCCGATGTGCCGCTAATGTTCTCGGTGTGTGGTAGAGACTGTACAGCGTGACCAGTGCCTTCCAGAGCACTGGGCGACAGTGGCCATGCTGTACAGTGTGTCCCAGTGCCTCCCAGCACGCTGTAGTACACAGGGCACACTGTACTGTGTACACTGGAAACACTGTTTTTTTTTTCGAAAGGCATGATTAGGCATTTTTATTGACCCTGATTACTGTGCTGTGCAGATGCAATGGCTGGTCATGTGATCAGGTCGGCAGCTTTATATATATGTTCATGTGCCTTGAAACAAATCTTTAGCTGAGACTTGAGCAGCTGTGTCATGTCTTGGTCGTCTTTTTTTAACACTGTTATTCCTGCACAATGAATGTCTATCAACTAGCCCAAGTATCCCTTTTAGTGGCACTAGATATGTGCAAATGTCCATTATTTGGCTCGAAGTGAAGAGGAAGCTACTTGAACAGTAGCAAGACTTGACTACCTGTAGGATGCTGGTAATAGCCAATAAAATATGTTACATTTTCCAAATGACTATACTTTGTACATCTAGCCCATATAACAAACTCTTGAACTTAAAGAATAATCGAGGTGAAGGTTTTACATACATTTAACACCTAAAGGAACACTAAAGTGAAGCAATGAATTGGTTTATATTGATGAAGTGTTCTCTGACAATTTTAACGCCATAACAAGTTCATTTTTAGAGGATAAAGTCAAAGTGAAAGTACCATTTTTAAATTTTACAATAAAATATGTATGCTTGACATCACGAATTTCAAAGTGTATTTGTTGTACTTTGCTGACACTGGCTAGACTAAATCTCATGAAACTTGATATGTTAAGTCTCTGGCTCCATCAGCAGTTATTGTGCTTCATTTTTACCCATTAGGAGCTATGTAGGCGTTAGCAAACACCGACAAAATTTATGACATTATGACGTTCGCTATAGGAATTTCAGGGTGGAGGCGCCACCTGTATTTTCTTTTTTTTTTTTCTAGAGTGTTTTCTCGCATAACAGGTGTCTTCTCGCAGTGAGCATGGCGATTTTGGAATTGTGAAAGGGTAATTTTTAATAACAAAAAAAAAAGTTTTCTCTTTGGTGTCCCTATAAGTGAGAACTTGTGGCACAAATTATCCCTGAATAGGTAACTTCGCAGCATCGCAACATTTCATTGCAGTGAAACGACCTCTACAAAAGAAGTTGCGTGCAATTAAGTTCTCTAATATTTGCCCATTCCCAAAATGAAGGAAGATAAAGTCTATACTTAGAAGATGAAGCCATTAACTATACTGCAAAGTAAAAAAGAAGCAAAAAAGTGACAATAATTTTTAGTAATATTTCAAAAGTAGAAAAAACCAAGGTTGAAAAAGTTTGAAGTAAGGAACACTAATAAGAAGCTTCAGCTGCCACACGAGCCCTCCCAAACGAAAGTTGTTAACCATACAGGCATTTTGAAAAGTGGTGCATGTAGTATGTGGTACCTTACCATTACCACAGTTCAACATATAAGTGATCAGAATTCAATGTGCATGACTTCAAGATCATGGTACTCCATTACATGTTTAATTGAGTAACCAACACACATTTCAATACAAGTTCCTCAGATGGTGTGAGCTCATGGTGAGTAGAAACTGCTGCAGACAATGTCCTTTATCAGTTGCTGAAGAAATTGGCAAGCATTTGAAGTTGCGCTTACGTCACAAGCCGTAGTCCACTACTCAGGTTCACTTCATTCAAAGTGAAGTCCGCAACAACTATTCAAAGTCACAGAAGCACTATCCATTCTCAATGTTTCCGTTATCAAGTGTTTGTCATTCAGTCTGCTGAGATCACTTTAAACTCTCTGTCGAAAAAAAAAAGAGATGTACATATATAGCTGAGAATAAATGAAGTGATCAAGTGTATTGTAAACTGCAGTGACAATAGGCTTCTCTATTATTGAGGCACTTGAGGTGCTAAAACTGGTGGTGTTAAAATATTTGAAATAAATATGGTGGTTTTTAAATAAATATGGTGGTGTCAAAAATGTTAAATATGAACAACAACCATATAAGAGTTCGTTTTATTACAAAAAAATAAATATTTTAGGATAACCTTATATCTAATCAACAAAAAATATAAGCAGACAAACTTCCGGAGAATTAATTTTTGCTTTTTCGTGCCCAACCATCTTGCATTGGCATGATTCGCTCATATGCTATGCAGTAGGTCCACAATATGTATACCAATTGGCTATAAGGCCATATCACACCACACTAAGATCTTCAGTGATACCGAAGTTAGGGTGCTTGCATCATTTAAACAGCTGCATGTCAATTTATGTTGGTGGTACATCCACAAAAATATATGCAGGTAGGTATATGCTGGATTTCTCTGAAAACAAGAGGCCCCAGAAGAAATATTGAAGATCCCACCACTCACCAGAAGTTCCTGCACTGCCTCTTTTCCTGACTGGTCGAAGCCTCTGAGGTTGCCGTATGTCAGCCATCAAGCGGTCATGAACAGATGTTTCCCGCCGAGGTGCAGGCTTCAGTTTTCGCCTCGAGGCCTGAAAAAAGAGAAGGTTTTTCTTATACTCAAGACATCTGCTCAATAAAAACACTGAAAATTACCGAATTTTAGAAGTGAAACAATGACTAATAAATATGTTGCTTTCCATTAGCCTATTTTAAAAAGAAAGCTGCTAGTTTATACATTTTTGCTAAAATTTGCTAATTTTTCTTTCTTGAATCGCATTTCACCAGCTTTGTGCTGGAGGCCAGCAATGATGTATCAATTTCTCAGACTGACATGTCTGCAAAGAAGCGTTTCCAAAACCTAGCACTGTGCAAGACTAAGTGTACCGTATACTTGCAGCACATAACACAACTGAAACCTGAAGTCTACAAATTAAACTTGATGAGCCAATAAATTTATTATAAGTTGCTATTATGTCAGTAAAGTGAAAGAAAGAAGGCTTGTCTTTTCAGAAATTTTACACGGCCAAGTGAATTGGTATAACAATAAATAAATGCAGAACCAACAGGTTCATAATATGTTGAATAACATTCCTATACTGTTTTTGTGCCAAATTACTGATTATGTCTTTTTTTAAATGTAGGAGGTGATGGTAAGAAAAAAAAAACTATCTGAAGACAATCTTTTTCTACCTTACAACAGCAGCAGGCTGTTGCTTATTTGTAATACATTTAGTATTTATAATACACTGCACCTAATCTACTACAGCAGTGCCTGTTGTGGCTTCGAAATTATGTACACGCATGAATTCCCCCCTCTCAGAGCTTGTGCTGGGTACAAAACATGACATGGGAACCTAGTGATGATGACAGAGGCCACTGTTGTTGGCACAAGAAAAAGGAATGGAACCAAAAACACAGCATTAGTTTGACGATATGCGGTTGTAAGCACCATGTTGTGGCCCTGTGCTGCACGTAGAAACGCAAGTAAAAGGTTACAGACCACAACTAGAAAAAAAAAAATTCTCTTGCTCAGTTTCCCAGTGCAGTATTGATTTAATACTACGCATCATTCAGGTGCGCACACTTAAGCTGCACACCTTAAGTTCAATCAACATACTCGGGCTGCAACAATAACAAAAAAAAAAAACCCTTCTTTGCAGCCATAATTGGTCCCCATACTTTTGACCTTGGCTGTACATCAACTGTCACAAATTGGTCTGCTTGGATGGCCAGCACCCATGCATGCAAAATAAGTTAAATGAGCAAAGCTGGGAAAGCGACACAATATGTGCGCTACGTCATCCTTTTTCAAAATACAGCGCTAGCTGGTGAGTGCCTCCCTGAATCGGGATAAAATAGCACAAAAATCGGGATGATATTTGAAAAAGACATCCACAATGCTACATATATATTTTTTAACAACCTTCATTTCACAGGCCTCAACAAATATTCTAGTGCTTCAAATATTTCAATGAATACTACAGTATTTGAATTCGTTACAGCATGAACTCACAGTTTCCAAAATTTCAAAGTAATCGAAATGAACAAATAAATACATATTATTGCAAGTGCTTCTGAAAAGATGGTATCATGGCAATGTGCAACTGCTGTACCGCAACACTCCCAATCAAGAAAAAAACAAATTTGCTGAAAAGCCAAAATTCAAGGTTAAATGCGCATATCACCTGCACCCCTATGAATCTTTTTTTAAAATGCAAAGCATCTCCCGTGAGGCGAATAAACGATGAAGGTAAATGACACATCTAAACATGATAATCATAATATGCTTGTAATGTAAAACATGACTACATGCCATGCTCATGATGTGCTCGCAGCCGTTTCACTAGCTTCACATATACCAAATTTAGTGTTACATAATGTGAATAAATGAAGTAGGTATATGACACATCTAAACATAATAATCATGACATGGAAGTCATGTACGGCATCATTCACGTCCGCCTCTTAACGTTGTGCCAATTTTGAAGTGCCATATCAACCTTCCTCATTCGTGCTTCGCATATAATTGATACCCACCGTACGTGGGATCTGCCCATTCTTTAGTTTGAAAGTGTGTCATACAAGCTTTTATGGGCTATGAATAGCAAATTATAAAGCTTTACATATTTGAAAGCTAAGAATTCTACCCGACTACTACTAACATTCGATTGCTGCTACTACTGAAATTTGCTTAGATTTTGCTTTGAACCAAAAAAGTGAGATTTCCAAAACTGTAGTTTTAATTTTTTGAAATATTGTGAAAATTAGTTGAGTCATAATAAAAATGTTAATCCTTTTTTACATAATATACTATACACTTCTCAAGCTATTCAATTGAAAATTATTCAACTACCTTACTAAATCCTTCAAACCTCAAGTTTATCATTAGCCAATATCCCTAATGTTTTGGCTTTTGCATTTCTAATGCAGCCTATTTATTGTGTGCTTTGCATTGCCAATAGAGCAGTCATAATAGCAATATTTTGGGCACAAATCAAATTAGAATATTAAGAAGAGAGTGTTAATAAAGAAGATTATTAAGTAGCAACATGAATGTGTTTCTTTTGGCTAGGTTGATGAAGTGCTGGTGGGGCGGTTTATCAAGTCGTCTAAGCAAGAATGAGGCTATGCAGAAGTCCAATTGTATTTATATACATGATTTGGTGTAACCAGACAACACTTTACATGTGAAAAGGAAAAATGCTATTTCCTCAGCCTCTGCTCCTCTTTCAAATTCTGTGGATGCCCAACTGATGTGGACAAGGGTGTGCACTTTTGAGTCTGGAGCTTTAAATTTGCTTCGTAGATGCCATAATAACATTATAATTTCAGATGCTAAAGATATTCAGTAGCTAAATTTTCTTACTTCCTGCCCAATTTTAAGTCTATAACAAAAATAATTGATCCCTCAATGCCGCATCTATCATCTCAAAGTTGGAACTAGCATTTTCTTCAAATTGTAGCAGAGCTTGAAAGGCAGCTTCGCCGCATCACTAAAATGTAATGTGGTGAAGCGGATTAAGAATCTGAAGGGATTACCGCTCATCGGATGTTGACTGTATTTTTTTACTTTTGGGAAGTTCCAATAGTTTGAACAGTAAAGCTCAGATGTGAATTATATTGAATAGCAAACACTATTAAATATTCTAAATTTTGAGTATTCGCACACCTACAGTATCTGTACGACTTTTGTCAGATAGCTTTTTACAAGCAATTCACAACTCCTTTGGATACCAATACAGCTTACACATAAATGTTTGAATATCCAACACCCCTAAACAGACACATGGTGCAGCAGTTACTAAAAAAATGGTACAGTAATGCGAAAGTCAACTAAAACGTATGGAAAGCACGCTTTCTGATCATGTCGTAATTTATCACAAATTTTACTCGAAATTCTGCTCGTAATGGCTGCATTGTCATCGCTAATCATTGAAAGTGTCAAGTCAACTATAGCTCCAGGCACGGCCAATGTGAAACAAGTATTTGGTCAGACATAAGATGAACGTTCCAGATTGGCAATGCTGCAGCATCATGTGTTAATGAACCTTCAATATTTAGGCAACTGCAGTGCCTTTGCTGCTGGGTGCACTGAATGCACCAAGCAGAGAGGCTTTGTCAGTCCACTCAATAATGTTCTAGTACATGCTAGTAATATTACTAAAAACGACAAAGACCTATAAGAAACCACAACAAAAATAAAATGGCTGGTGTAGTGTGGGCCTTCACAGCTAATGATCATTACTTATTGAGCAAGCTAACAACTTTAAAGCAATGCAATACCATGGACAATTGCCACAATATGATATGTTAGGCAGCCAAGAAAGTTGAACAGTTATTGAGTAGAGATTTGAGTGTCTGCTCACAGAATTTGTTAATCAGTGGACTGAACCTGTCAGAAAGGTAAATTACTCCCTATACTAATTCACAATGCCAATTTTCACCCACGCGGAGACTAGATTGAATGTTTAAAAAGTGGAATAAGCCTGTCAGAAAGGTGAAACACTTTCTATACTAGCTAATTCCCAATGCCAATTTTCATCTAGGTGGAAACAAGATTGTCTACTAACGAAAGGTACAGAATAATGTAAAAGGTCATCATCAATGAACCAGTGCAGTTGACAGTAAACAAGAAAACCTGGCCAAAAGAAACACTGCGTCATATAGCAATGAAGCAGATAGGGATATTTGCATAGTTACTTTAGTGGAACAGACAATACGGCAAATTCGTTAAGCATTACTATATGAACAGAGACATAAAACAACAAAAAAATGAAGCAAGACAAACTGATTGCATAGTTTGCCTTCGTATGCCTGTGTATTGATTGCAAGCCAACTGATCTGTGGACAGCATAGACTTACAAGACAGCCATCGTAAGCTATCAACCTTTCCGTGAATGGGTAAGAAGATTAAATAAAGCATGCCGAGTAGAATGTGGAGCTCATTTAACATAACTGCAACACCTCAGCTTTTATGAACGGAGTACCTTCTGGCATGCCTAACGTCAGGTTTACATCTCAATACTTCTGGAGTTAGTAACTGGTGTATCAGCAGGCTTGTGATGAATGTCATAGAGACAGAATAGGCAGGAGCTCTATTCTAAAGATTAAGTTTGTGCGAATATTTGATCACTTTAAATATTCAAAATAATATTACCCCATCTCATTTTGATTTCATTTGAATTTAAATTTAAGAAAATTTTGAAGTACTCAAAATGTACGAATAGTGTATATTAGTCAGCCTGTAACCCCTTTGTAAAGGTAGTTTTACTGCAGCGGAGGAATGCTATGCCATTATTACACTTATTCACATTAAAAAACTGCACTCTGCACTGCCACACAGCCCCGCTTCAAGGTTAAAGTTTAAAAGCTTGTTATACCAGCTTTTATGCTCAGAGTATAGTAAATTTTAAAACGTAACATATTTCCTACAGCTTATTCTTTGCATTCTACTAAAAGTCGATTCCAGCTAATATTCAAAGGTGCCCGGCTCTACTTCCCATTGAACCACAATAAATGACATATGCACATGTTTACTTAAATTTAAAAAATATGCAGGTTCACTGGCTCATAACAAATAAGTACATTTTGTGTATATTATGCGATATATAGTATTAGAATTCAATTCAAAGTTATTCTACCAAATCATTATTTGCTTCGAATTGACTTAGAATCTAAAATTTACTATTTCTACAAGCTTACTATGTTACACTGTGCATAATAACTACCAAAGCATAAATGGAGAGATCACTCTTTATTACATCTTTTCAAAGACTGCGGCGGCCACCGAAAGTGTGCCATCGCATAGTGCCGTAGTCAGTAGCGATGCCTTATGTAACATATCTCCTAGGGAAAGAGAGAGAGAGTTATCTTTAATGTCGAACATAGTCCTTCAATTTCTTCAGAGTCTTCTTACACTTGATTCTTAAGCTTGTCAAATCCCAACAGATTGGTTGAAGTATACACACCAAGAGGTACAAGCCCAGTCCACTTTTGCAATTGTCTTCTTGGGCGCAGAGAATCGCCGAGACAGCTTGCTGTGAACTGCAGATAACTTAACACACACGTAATCACCAACGATGAAGCTGGGTTCCTTGGCTACACATTTTTCATCGGTGTAGCTTTTCAACATTCTTTGGTTGTTTCCTACGCACTCTCACAACTGCTCAATCGCCCTTGATGGGTCAATGCTGAAGCATTTGTCAGGCAATCCCACTATGTCACGTCTGGTGCGAAGTTGGCGTCTATAAAGAAGAACAGCGGGTGTCGCAGCAGTAGTGGCGTGAGGCGTACACGATATACTTGCAGCTAATCCAGCATGGCTCCACGGAGACTTTGCCCTCCCTCTATTGCCAGAGCTTGCGACGAGTCACAGTGAGCCTCTCTTGCACGGCAAGCAATCATATTTAAGTGCCGCACATCCCAGGCTTTCTTACTCTTGAAGAAGAAGAAGAAGCCGGCCTGGCTACGAAAAGTCAGGTTTTTTCACAAAATATATTTTGGTATGAGTTTTCTCATTTCTACGGCATGTGCAATGCATCAAACACACAACACACACACACAAATAAAAGAACAAGGGCAACTCCAGCCCTGCATAAAGACTGGACGGAACTTACAGGAAACAATGGGGGCCTAGAGCGAATAAACTCCAATATTAACGCATGGGCATCTTTCTTCACTCGAGGTGGGAGATCACCATTCACCTGCATGAATAAAGAAGCAGACTGTCTCACAAGGCTGGCCATAACATCAAGCAGACAAATGTGCGTTAGATATCAACACCACATATTCCAAATTACAATAAATCAAACATTAACAAACCCTAGTAGAGGTAGTTATAGGCAAATGAAATAAGAACAACAAATCAATTGTAATAAAGGCTTGGTGAGGTATTGGGCTAGTTAGTTTTGTATAATTGTTAAGGAACACCTGTGAGCAAAAGTATACGAACAAGAGTACATGCCAAAATTGCCGTTAGCACCATCTAGTGGCCGCTGTCAAGAGCATTGCTGTAGCAAATGCAGAGCGGGAGCGAAGCTCGTTGCAGCAGACAGCTCATCACTAGAGGCCACAAACATCAATTTCGGCATGCGCTCCCATGGTCTGCATACTCTTTTTTTTTTGACAAGTGTACACTTCCCTTTGCTCATGTTCTCATCCCTTTATGTCTTTTACACAAATACAGTAGACGGTTTGCACTCATTGTGTATTCTTCATTTTGTTTTTTCCCTAATTCTGTGTACCCTGTAACTTTGGCTTACTTGAATTTAAAAACGTGCGACAACTTCCACAAAAAAAAAATTGTGAGCACAATCTTGCATTGGTAAATATGCAGATATGAAAACGTATTTGAGCCTCACAATAAGTGTGTAAAAAGAAATCACGTTGATAGTAAAGAGTACCAGTGAAAACAAAATTAAAAGAAAGGGTCTTGGGTCGCCCTAACTAGTTTTCACTTCCAATGCCTATGACTGTACATAAATGCAACAGCAATGCAGAAATGTTGAGCTAGCACTTCACAAAACTCCGTTACCCACACTTGGGGAATGCCCTATTTCACGCATTCTATCAAGAAATTAATGGCAAGCAAGTTCATGCACAAGTGTATAATACAAAAGGTGTGTAGACAGAATGCAATGCAGATCATTCAAAATAAAGCTACTTTCATTTCCAATGCTTATAACCTTGCATCCTGTGAATACGGTGATCTTAAGAATGAAAGAAAGAGTGATCACAGATTTCTTGTGACAGCTGGAGGTCTTAATTCTATATTGCACAACTCAGTAGTACTAGGCTTGTGTGAATAGTCAGTTTTAGGTTCAAAGCGAATTTGAAGTGAGCAGTGATTCACTTCAATTTTAGAATCGAAGTGAATAGTGCTTTGGTTCGAATAACTTCAAGTCGAATTTGAATGTATATGTCATATATTATAAAGAAAAATGAGCGTATTTGTCACGACCCAACTAACCTACATACTATTTTTCTAAAAATGGAAGCAAGGGCTGTGAAAATGCCATTATTTTTGGTTCCAAAAAAGTGAAAACAACTGTTGAAGAGTAGCACGATTAACTTTCGGTAGAATGCAAGCGATAATCTGTAAAATATTTGAACTTTTAAAATTTACTATATGCGATGCGCAACAACTATCAGGGCAGGTGCACATTGAAAGTCGCGTAGCCACAGGCAGGCTTGTGTGGCAGACGCCTCCTTTCACTGCAAGCATGCCGGAAGTGTGTGTGCGCGATTTACCACTTGAGTGCATCACAAATAATTACTTTTGCAGTTATAGTGTGCACAAAGGAGCCCCACATTAAATAGCGGACATGTGTCAATGTCACAGCAGTATGGGACGAGGTTGTCACCATAGGCACCAAGTGTTTGCCACCGATAGGTGTCAACAAGATTATGATTATGTGGAGCTCAGCGTAAGTACCCTACTTTCTTTAAAATGCCCTGATCACTAATGCCTGCATGCGCTGATACGCGAACCGATGTTTTTTGACGCACTAGCTTCGTTTACACGCCACCTGTTTATACAGTAGATATTGAGGGAGCACTGTCCTACAAGCGCATAGATTTCACACGTGCGGCCAAGCACAGGGACAGCATTGATATAACTTTGAAACCAGCACGATAAAGTAGAAAAAATATGAGGGCAGCTTGCAATAGTGGCGCAAGACTGAGTCAATGCGGAGCTGGTCGTCACTTAGCTTGTCATAGCAGTCTGGCTACATTTTGCTAGGTTTCGCAAAGTATTGCAGAGTGTTTCAAAATGGTGTCAGGTTTTACATGATAATATGTAGTTTTAGTGGGAACATGGCACGTGACTAGATAAGCTTAGATAAAATAAGCCTACAGAACATCCTTACGTGGTTAGTTACATAACTATGCGGGTTTCAGTGGGAATAATCACGTGATTAGTTATGCAATTTTATGTGGTTATGTTAGAAACATGTCACGTGGTGTGGCCAGCTGTTACACGACAAGAAAAAATAAAGAAAAAAATGTGAAAGTATCCCACTTAGCCTTACTCATAGGTGTGCTCAGGGTTCCCCATCATAGTGAGGGGGGAAAGACAAAGTTCATCCCCCTCCCCCCTCCCCAGCTTCACTAATGGTGTCGTCGATTGGCAGAGTGAAAGTGGCTGACAAACTGTGCGCCCAGAACCCTTCACTCTGGCGAAGGGCAACACAAGAGAATCAACCAATGGAACACACGCGCTTCCTCTGGAGCAAATAGCAAGGTCGGAATGGAACGCAATGCATGGGTCTCTCTTCTTGCATGAGTGGGCATGCTGGCAACAGCGATGCTACGCTAGCAAAACGTAAGCTCCAATGCGAGGCGCAACCGACGTGACCGAAGTCCTTTGGCACACCCAAAGTTGGCACACCCAACGTTTCAAGGCATGGGGTGCTTGCAACGTCCCGTTGAATCCACTGATTTTTGCAGAGTAGAAAAAGTTGCTCTATGGAGTGGATCTCACGATGGAGCTGCTCCACATCTGCCAGTGGAAGATACAGGGAGCACTTTCAATCTGCCAATAGAATCAACTTGCTTCGCATGGAGCAGAAGAAAGTATTACCGGAAGTGCTCCAAATCTGCCAATGGATGACACCATAAGTCAATGCACGGGGCAGATTTCGCGCGCTTCCCCCGTGAATAGAGAGGGGGGCCACTCCCTGCCCCCCCCCCCCCTCCCCCTGCAGACGCCTATAGCCCCACTCATAACGCAGCTTGCATAAAGTGAATGAGCATTAGTTGGAGACACCATGGCATGAAGTTCGGGCGTTTCCTATTTGCATGTTACGAGAAATTCAAAAGGAGGATGAATGTCCTCTCAAGAGCCTTGAATGTTCACAGGTGCCATGTTGCAAAGCTAATACGCTTATACATGCGGGACGAGTGTACAGTGAACATTCTGCACCGATGATCGCATTCCAGTGCCATCAATAGGTAGAACGCAGCAGATTTCATACAGCACACGTGTGATGGCATGGCACTTTCCTGAAAGAGCCGTCACCTGCTCCTAATTCTCCGGCTTTGTGCCATTCATTTTCAAGAGAGGCATCACGTCTCATGAGTAAAAGCAACCTCATGTTCACTGTAGCGTCCCGAATGCAGGTGGTGCGATCAAGTGTGAACGTAGTAGCACTTGCTGACGATGTAGCGACATAAATGGAAAAATAAAAACTCAGTAATCGTTATAACACTGCCCTAAACAAAGCCCGATTGCTTACCTTCTGTGTGGGACAGCCGCAATCCACCGTCACAGTCACTTTTTCTCATGAAACAGCACCGGAATCTTGTAGTTTCAGCAGCCAACAAGGCAGCAGTTAATTCTCGACATCGCTGAAGGCCGTCGAAATGGTTAAGTAACGATGAAAAATATATACTTCCGCGCACTCGCCTATTCGCTCGCGGAAACAATGCTCTTTCGAGCCCGCCAACGCTTTCGACTCGTGGTGACAGGTGACGCCATCGACCCTTTGCGCATCGCCTCTACTTATAGCATATAAGCCAACATTAAAAATGTTAAATCGATGTGAGGGTAATCTGTTCATTCAACCTTCAGGTGAGGTTTTGTGGTAGAGCAGATTTCTCCTGCGTAGGTGTTTTAATGACTTCGCAGCTCTCTATTGCGTGAAAACATCTTTACGAAAAGTTACAATCCTCTTCATGGTCAAATCTTCAATCATAGTAGAACGTGCAGAGAAAGTGCTGATGCCCACCTCTTCTACAATTTCCCGAATAGTCACATGACGGTCCCACATCACCACAGCATTTGACTAGGGTTTTGGTGGCCTATCACTCCTACACTGCAGTGAGACCACTTTTAAGATAATTTCATGCAAATTAATATGTTCGTATAAATGTTTTCACGGCTTAGCACTTTTCCACTGCAGTGAAACCACCTTTACAGAAAGTCTGTTACGAGGTCTGTTAGAAAAGTATCCGACCTTTGTTGAAAGAAAAAAAGCTGGCATAGTTAGAGCGTTTAAAACCTGATTCCCTTCAATGTAGTCCCCTTGGGACTCCACACACTTCACCCAGTGGTGCTGCCATTGTTGGAAGCATTCTGAGAAGGCCTCTTTCAGAATAGAGTTTAGCTCAGCTGTCGTTGCAGCCATAATGTCCTTCCTTGTCTGAAATCGCTCTCCTTTCAATGTCCTCTTGAGTAAGAAGAGTAAGGAGCCTGTTGAACTAAAGGAGTCTGACTTTTTGCCAAACACATCTAAACCAGGCAATGTGCAGGCATTGTCGTGATGAATGAGCCAGTTTCCTGTTGAATACAACTCGGGTCTCTTGCGCCTCACATCATCACGTAGGCGACGTAGGACATCCCTGTGGTACTATTTGGTAATTGTTTGTACCTGTGGTGCGTACTCATGGTGTACCACACCGCGGGAGTCAGAGAAAACACTCAGCATCACTTTGGCATTGCTGTGCACTTGGCGGGCCTTCTTTGGTCTTGGTGACGTGGAATGCTTCGACTGTGATGACTGGGATTTGGTATCTGGGTCGTAACCATACACCCAAGACTTGTCACCAGTGATAATGGTGTTCATGAAGTTAGAGTCGCTGCTTGTGAAATCCAGCATGTCCTATTAGACTTCAACACGAAGTTCCTTTTGCTCCACTGCGAGCAGTTTCGGCACTAATTCCGCCGCAACTCTCTTCATGGCCAAATATTCAGTCATACTAGAATGTGCAGAGAAAGTGCTGATGCCCACCTCTTCCACAATTTCCTGGATAGTCATACGACGGTCCCGCATCACCACAGCATGCACTTCGGCAATGACCTGGTCATTTCAGCATGTTGATGGCGAACTGGAGTGTGAGTCACTCTCCACCGATGTGCGGCCGTCTTCTAACTGGTTTTACCTCTCTTTAACCTGGGTGCAGCTCATAGCGTCGTCACCTAAAGTCGCCTTGATCTTCCCAATGGTTTCCACATGGCTGTCACACAGTTTCTGGCAAAATTTGATGCAGTAGCACTGCTCCAGTTGTTCCGTCATTTTCCTTGCAATGAAAAACTGACGAGAGCACTGTGCACTACCTCGCTCAAACGCTGCATCCCAGCTACCGGCACTATTGGCAGGCAGGAAAATATTCATGCATGCGCCAAAAAGTTCAAGGTCGGCTGATGCAAGCGTGCTTGTTTCAAATCCATCAGGTGCTCGCAAAAAAAAGTTGAATACTTTTGTAACAGACCTCGTATATTCATTCATCACAAATTCTTTGAAATTTTCAATAATTTAAATTCAAATCGAAGCAAATGTGAATACCGTAATATTCATTCAAATATCTGCACAAGCCTAATTAATACAAATAAAGTTATCAATGCTTTAAAAATTCTGCAATACCTATTTAATTAGTGCATAGAGGTTGAGTGAATCTGTGTTTTAGAGAAAGTAGGCAGAGCAAAAGAATGAAACAAATGAAGCAACGTAAATAAGAGTAGCGTACAGTCAGGAGGGCCTGCTTCCACAGCATCCACACCTATGCATCCACAGCATGGCCCCTCAGCATATGATTGGCAAACAAATTCAGTTTTTTTAACAGCCACAAGATAAAAAAATTTTAATGCATAACATTGGTCAAACATTGTTCATACAACATGTGCCATAGCCTGACTTTTTTCAGCAACTCTACAAGCATAAAAAACAGACCAATGTTGTAAAAGACACACAAAACCTACGGTCTTGGATTATGCATGCAAAGGAAAACATGGCAAATCACATAGAAAGCAGGCCATTTTTTTTCTGGGTCTCTCAATACACGTTAGAAAAAAATCTCTATATCATTAGCAATAGTTTCATTATCATTAGCAATGGTTGGCAATTAGTGGTGTTTTTATGGTAGTGCTACATTCCCTATGGAACATAAAAACACTACCGCTCTGCAACTCTGTAATGTGCTGTGGGGAATAAGGTGCCTCCCTTATGCACCTCAATGCCCAGCTCATGTGTGGTGCTGGCCCCGACCTCTCTCGTTTGCCAGAAAGTGCCACCCGGCAGCAGCATAACAGACATGGCTGGCGTGGCGGAATTTCCCAGAAAAACTGTGCCTCTCTGTCCCCGTACCAGTACACATCACGACATGCCCCGATTGGGCTGTTTTTTACATGAACAAAACCATTGCTGCTGATATGTGCCATCACAGCTCCTAGATATGCATGAGATGTCCTTACCATGACTTTGTTCAGCTTGTACCTCTGCGAACGGATGTCATCCAGCAACATCTCGTAAGGTGTCAGCTCAAACTCCACAGGATGCAGGTGTGTTTCAATGTCAACTTTCTTTAATTTGACTCCCTGTCGAAGTTCCCGAATTACCTGCATCCACAGCATGGCCTGCAAATAACAAAGGCAAGCAAAGTAAATATATATATATATATATATATATATATATATATATATATATATATATATATATATATATATATATATATATATATATATATATATATATACTATGACCTTATGGTCAGATATTTAGTTTTCCATGTGATAAAAATCGTTGAAACAATCATTTTATATGCCCAAAAATGCACGAATTACGTACAGAAACGAAACTAGTATAGAAAAGAAACTAGAAAAGAAATTAGTAGAAACACCATTCTGGTTCAAAGGGTGCAACAACATAAAAAACTGTGAGAATGTTCGAAATGAAGCTCCCACCAAAGTCCACTAAAAAAATTATTGCATTACGTCACAAAAAACGCCATCTGCAAAACTTTGACAGAGCATGATACAACTTTCTTGCTAATAACAAAGACTACAACTTTGGAATATGGTTTAGCAAGGGAGCTTCTACATACATAAGTACTTGGAGCAAAGGGTTTTCTTTGCAACCAGAGCATCAAATAGTTTATCATTTGTTATACTGTAGTATGTCACACTTTAAAACTGACATCAAAATCACATGACTGGAGGCAGCAGATTTTTTTATTTAGGCCAAAAAACATGAAATAAAATATTGTTGAAAAGTGAGGATTTCCAAATAAAAATTGTCGAGTTTAGAATGTGATAAAAAATTGTCTAACTAGGTAATCTTTGCCTAATAATACATCTAAAACTGACAAAAGTGATATGTCATACCATCACTATGAAATGTACCACTAATATGCAAGTATGGCTCCTCCGAAACCCTTGTATAGTAATAACGAATCTCATATGCTACAAATGCATATGTTAAAGCTGCCACCCAGATGTTATAACAAACTTATTTTACAGTTTAGATCATAGTTACATATTTGTAAGCCCAGTGTTTTTTTACAACTCACTGATATTTAAAAATATTTCCTTGCTTCTTGAATTTACAACTGAACCATATCTAATATTATTAAACTAATATTATTTGGTCCCAAGGTTGCCTCATATATGCATTTCTGCATTTTGGGTACAAGCCAGAAAAAAAAGCTCATAAACGAAGGGCAGGTGACGACACTACCGTAATTACTCGAATCTAACGCGCACCTTTTTTCCGGTTAAGCCAGTTCATAAATCGCATGCGCGTTAGAATCGAGTACGAACAAAAAAATTACGGTCAATCTATTGCCATCGGCAAATTCAAAATGGCCGCTCCCTATGTGCGTCGGCATGGCGCGTCGGCCATTTCTGCCTATGTGTTTCCCATGTGCGGCACTTCGTACGTGTGCTGAGGAGTTCATCTAGTAGTGCATTAGCATCGACGGCGTGGAAGGGCCGACTCCAAAAACTCGAGTGCACCACGATGCCGCTTTTAAAAGAAAAGTCATCGTGTGTGCAGAAACGGACGGAAATCGGGCTGCATCGCGATCGTTCGGAGTTCCCGAAATGTGTGTGCGGGACCGGCGGAAACAAAAGCAGAAGATTGTCGACAGCAAAGCTTCACGCAAAGGCTTCAGTGGACCACAGCAGGGTCAGTTTCCGCAAATTAAAGAGCTGCTTGGCGAGTATGTGCTTGAGCAGCGAGCGGCACAGCGGCCCGTGACGACAGAACTGCTCCAAGTGCGGGCTATGCAATTGGTCTTAGAAAAAGGTCTAATGCGGAGCCAGTTTAAAGCGAGCAGGTGCTGGCTAACTAACTTTATGAAGAGGAAAGGCTTTTCCCTCCGAAGGGGTACATGCATATGCGAAAAGTTTTGCGGAGGAGTACGATGAAAAGCTTCACAGTTTTCAGAGGTTCGTTCTAAACTTGCGGCGCAACAACGGCTACATGCTTGGGCGAATTGGGAATGCCGATCAGACGCCTCTTTACTTCGACATGCCTGGCACCACAACCGTGGAGAAGAAGGGGGCGAAGCAAGTTCGCATGCTGACATCGGTCCACGGTAAAACTACAGTGACGGCAATGCTTTGTTACACGTCAGATGGGCACAAGCTTCGCCCGTACCTCATATTTAAATGGAAGACGCTCCCGAAAAAAGTCGTTTTTTTTTTCGAGTGGTGTGATCGTGCAGGCCAGCGAGAAAAATGGGTGCGCGTTGCAATCGATGTCTTACGTTTTTTTTTTTTTTTCGCGGTGGAAATCGGGTGCGCGTTACAATCGAGGGCGCGGTAGAATCGAGTAAATACGTATATTGACGTTTGCATACGTCATGTGAAAAGCATCTGATTAGGACAAATTAACCTTCTGTAGATATAGAAAGGCTTACGCTGAATCCTGAAAAGGTTGTGAGAACCTTGTCAGCATGAAATGGACTACAAAGGAAAATTTATAACCTGTTATGTGCACTGACACACCAGTACTGCTGTTCCTACACAAAATTTAGAAAGAGAAACATTTGTGTTTACTTATTTCTCTGTCAATAACGAAAATGCACACCCAAAATAAATGAAATAAAGTCTTGATAAAACGTAATTGATTCTTTATAGGTGTTGCGCTACTCTGTAGAGTCACCATTAAGCATAATTTTGATGGTAATAGTCATTCTATAGATCACCCACAGGTGCTGGCAGGAATAGGTTAGCCATCTAAAATGGTCTTAGCAAAAGTGAGCTGCAGCTACTGCTCACAGAGGTCTAGAATTACCGGGTGTTACAGCACCTCAACTACATTGGGTTAGCTTAAAACTGAAGAGTATTGTGCATTACTTCTAAGCAGAATTCTAAGTGGCCGCAATCTACCAAAAAAAGGCAAAACTGTACTTGTTGATGGTGGCTATGAAGGCAAAATGGCAAACAAGCTCTATGCTAGCATCCCCGTTAAATGTGATAACATCAGCACCAAGCTACTGAGATGCAGGGGAGATGTGGCACTTTATTAGTTCATGCCTTGGTATTCCAGCTAAATTTATACACAAGCGAGCTCTATTTTTACCAGTCTTTTTAACATGAAACAATAGCTGAAGATACCTTGGATACCAACAATCACATTTCTTGACAGTGTTGTGGTCTTTAAAGATTTTCATGCCTAAGGCAATGAAACGCTTGGCGTAAAATTTGAAATGTAGGGCACCTTTGTTCTTACTATGACACTCCATTTTTTACATGTTTACTGGGACTATTTTGTCATAGAATTCACATCCAATAATTTGTGGTGCCATGCTAATATCTAACACATTTTTATTTGCCTATGTATTTCTTTGCATTCGAAACATTTTATCACACCCAGAAAATGCAGTGAAGTCCACTGTGCCAAAAATACATGCCTCATAGAATTCTAAAATGTGACATAATTATGCTTCTTTCTTATTCAATCCAAAACAGGTAAGTGTTTCAATGAATGAAATCGACATTTACACTTGAACTGAAAAAAAAAAAAATGTGAAAGCAGCCTGTCAAAAACACTTGTTTCAGTTTTCTGTAGCAATTTATTTTAGTATTTGTGTTAGTGCTATTTTACACACAAGTAGTTGAAGCAGATGACTTAGGATGACACAAAAAGTACAGGTATAGACTGTGTGTCAGTGTGTTGACAATGGCATTTATGTGAGATCAGTACTACATTATTTTATTACAAACCAAGCAGTGTGAGGTCTGTAAAACAGATTATTGTAAACATATACTCTAATGTAACTACTTAAGCCATTAATTTTATTGTAACTTGCTCCTTTTGACACTGCACAGAAATTTTATGAACAAGTAATGATTATGAGAGCATTATACTGAGTCTTAAATGCCAAGAAAACAAGTGAACACAAAGCAACTTATGGCCATCCATGCACATTGTTGTCTGTGTGTGACTACACCGAAATTAAAGAGGATTCATTACCCAGTCCTGAAACTGTAAGCCATCAAGGTCTGAGGTATCTGGATCACTGCGATGACACTTGATGAATTCCTGAAAAAAGAAAAGCAAATAGTATTTTCCAGTTTAGTAATGGACATATACAATAACTTCATTTATGTAAATAGAAATGAAAAATTGTTTGCCCTGGCTGACAAATCAAAAAAACATTTTTATGCACCTGAATGTGTCAATGTAGGATGGCTAATTTCATCTCCCACCTTTTAAACTGTGCAGCTAAATAGCTATTGATAGATGTTTGTCTGTGCTGTTCATTGTGCCCTTCATTTTTCTTCTGCAAAGCAATGCCCCGCACGCATTGGAACATACACTTATGCATGCTTCTTCAGCAATAAAAAACACTTGAAGTGCCGCACTTGCCCTCTATTCTTTGGTGTCATCCATGTTTCGATGTGCACTGCTGTATCTCGCCAAGTATGAGAAATTAATGCTGAACCTACTTTGATGGTTTACCATCAACTGTTTTAAAGCACTTGGTAGAGGTGAATTTTGTGTAACAGTGCATGTATGCAAAGAACCAATGTCATGAGGACCTGGCTTATGTCTTTCTTCTGCAGTGATAGAAATTTCAGGTGAATAGTCGCATTAGAGACATCATGTGTTACTGATTTCATCTTGCTCACAAGTCAAAATGTTGCATACTGAAAATTCAGTGCACACACTCGAGGATACAGACGAAAGGCTCACAAGGACTAGTGCAGTCCTGTGAATGTCTGTGTCCTTGCGTGTGTGCACTAAATTTTTAGTACGCAGGAAAACCAACTAGCCCACCTTTATTACTTCAATATGTTGCATAGTGCACATAGGGGAGATGACACTGCTGGGAATGAGTGTGTGCCAAATTAGAGAAGGGCCCATGGTGGCAGGAGCGTGTGGAGAAATGTATAGTGCGCAAGACATGAGAGGACAAGTGGCATTTTGCAAGCAACGACAGTGAGTGGCCCAGCTGCATCATCTATCAATTGCCTCGGTTTGAGCTGATGCACAACTAAAACAAACCTAGGAACAGAATGCATGATGCCTCGGAATAAAAATGACAGTCATTAAGATTGTGAAAAAAGCCAAGGAACTCATATGCAATTCTTTAGCCTATACATCCACCAAAACACACATGTTCCTCATATAGTACGCCGCAATATGGCTAAGCTCTGGCAAGCTTCTTGCAGTTACCCCTTTCATAACTGACCCATCCCTGCATCATCTTTTTCATCTCATTAAATAAATTACAGATACTACAAACACTCACTTTGGTTCCACTAGATATTTTCTGCAGGAATGTAGATAGCTCAACAGCTTCTGCAACTAGGGCACGGCAAACTGCCTTGTAGTGAAGATCAGCCTGTGCTGGGTTTTGAAGATGAGATGCACACATCTGAAAAACAAACAAAAAGAAACCAACTGTGAGGTCACAAAAGCTTTTTGCATGATGTAAAACAGTTTATTACAATAAAAGCTCATTAATTCGGATTTCACGAGAGCAGAAAAAAATGTCTGAATTCAGCAAGTGCCGAATTGTCGAAAGTATCATGAAAATAGTAAACAAATGTCTGTTCCATGAATAAACTTTCATCATCTTTCTGAATATGTAAATTATATACATATTTAGCATAAAGGCAGTGCAAAAGCCACAATTTTCGTCATACTTAGACTTCGTTCGCCACGTAGCTATGACAAAAGACTCACGTGTTTAATTAGCCCAGAACGTGCACTGCACTTCTTCTGTACTACTAGCACTATCACACGGACATGACAACTGTTTTTCCACAGATAAAATGGCTGGCAACTGATTTGTTTATCATGGTGCAGAAAGTGAGTTTCATGCAAGCACGCTGATAGAGGCTTAAACCTGTTGATCATGAACAGCTTTGCAATGTTTGAATTTTGTAACACTGCACGAGCATTGCATCAAGTTAAACAAAGCTGCTGAGCGCCAATTGTGTATGTGGAGAAAACCGCGGTCACTAACCTATATAAATAGCTATGCGGACTGCACTACCGCATTTTGGTTTACCGTGCAGGTCGTTTTCGCTCTACTGTTGCGCACATTTGTAATGCTTTGTGCTAGAGAACACGTGTACATGGGTGAGCAATTAATCTTTTATGTTTTACTGGTCATTGCGGGTAATTTCGTTAAAACGTGAGGTCCAAGTAGTATCAGCAGTTCGTGTGGTAGTGGCAACTTACGAGCAGTGCAAGCAGCTTTATATAACCAAATAATTACTGTTTATGGTCTTAGTTATCATTAGTACTGAACTACTTGAAAGCTCACTTCCTCATTAGGCCACCTGAAATTTATCAATGTCATATACTTTGCAGACATGTTCCTAATACTGCCAAATTTTGCAACCAGCAGTGCCAAGGATAATACAAATTGCATAGGACAGTTGTTTCTGTCAAGATTTGCCACTACTGGTGACACCCAGGAGTCCTCAAGAAATTAGATTGAGAGGCAACATTGTTGAAATTAGCCCCCAATACACAGTGCTTTTACCAGTGCACTGAAAGTGAAATGCATTAAATGTGCACTCTCGCCACCTTAGCTGCACAATTTCGCGCTACTGAAATGGAGGAGCCAAATCTTTTGTGTCAGTAAACTTTAACCTAGAATGAGCCCACAGTTGATTTCAGCCCAGTTTTATTGGAGGCTAAACCCATGTTCCCGCTAGTTGGCTGGACGTGTTTACAAGCAACACTGTGAATGCGACAATTAAAAAAAAAACAAGAAATCAAACCTCAAAATTAGTCTACACCATTACATCAATGTTGCGTGTGATACTGAAATGACTTCAATATATTAGAAAATTCATTAAAAGCACATGTACCTCTCAATGTATTTGTCACATCTACTCTCACTTTACTTTGATATAACCAGTAATTTGTCATATCCTTGTTTATTATACAGAGGTTGGACTGTAATCATTGTAACTGCTTGAAACTGAAGCAATGAAGTCTAGTACACAAGTGTTATTTTGTGTTTCACAAGGTGATCGATGGTTTTACTGTGTTACAGTAGTTAGGTTCACCGTTGACAGTTTATTTTATCCAATCATTAACAACACTGAACAGCATGTGCTGTCAAAGGGGCCCTGCAACACTTTTCCAAGAACTCATAAAATGGCTTCATTAAAGGGTCGAGTTTACAAAGTCACGTATTGGCTTCCGCAAAAATGGCACGGGGGAAAGAAGTTACTTCACGCTTGTCTCATGAACACTTATTTTTCTCCAAAAGCGGCTTACTTTCAGTGTGATTGTGAGAATGCGGGGGGGGGGGGGGGGCAGCGGTAATGCAGCGCACGCTACACAAATCAGCTAATGGATGTGAATTTCAGCATATGGTGCGGTCGACCATCGGTTATATGACATTTGTAGAATGAGAGAACGATTTGTGTCTGACCTTGATATTTAATTGTAAATTCCAAGCCACCTGTAGCGCTATCATGTTTTGTTTTGCTCACATGTTCTTGGGAGCCCCTGACTACCGATAGGCAGTTTTTCCAACTATGCTGAAGAAGTGTCACAGGGCCCCTTTATTTCTTTAAAGACATCAACGTGTTTGCATGTAAGAATGCAAATTATTTTACTAAGACTGTGGCTATGTTAATGAATAATTGAAAGGACCCTCTTTTATATTAGACACCAGTAAATTAAGTCATTGTTAGGTGACAATTTTCGCCTAACTTGACTTGTATTAGCACATCAATAAAGCATGCACAACCTTTACCTGTTTCTTTTATAAAAGAAGCTTAAACTTCTTTAACATTAATCTTAAAGTCCACATTTTCTAGTGAATAACCCAGTTCTTGAGCACTCTGATAATGTGTGCAATCAATGATACTATGAAGACAATAGGATTGAGACCACACTGCAACTTGAAACAAAGTTAATTTTATTAATTAACTGAGCTATGGCAACAGTTGACAATATGTTGCAGTCATTTGAACATCAACAATTAAAAACATGGTCCCATAGATAGCCAATATGTTTGCTTATTACACATATATAGTTTTTAAAAAGAAAGGACAAGAACAAGATGATTACATAATTTCTCCACCAAACAGTCATTGTGGCTTAATCGTGGCATATTTATATTTCTATACACTGGCAAGATAATTAGTTTCTCAAAAATATTTTACCAGGCACCATGGTGCTATAGAATCTCCACACCCTTATAAGTACAATAACAGTTTCCTTTTTATTGCGATAGCAATTATATGGCCACTCTCAGCTGGATTTTGCCACCGGCATCGTAGTCATCAATCTCATACGTATATGTATCGATACAAATGAAAACGCAAGCAAGAAAAATAATTCAGAAAGACTCCGGCGCGCGGAATCGAACTTTGAAACGGCCAACTACATCTACCACTGGCGATGGTCCTCTCGGGGAACTATCGTGTTTTCGCTATTGCCAGCGAGATGGCGCTACCAGAGCGCGTCGCCAGATCGCCACGACGCGGCGGCGTGCGCTCTCATCTCCCACGAGTAATTTGCTCCGCAGAGAGGATGAGGAGGGGGGGGGGGGGGGACGCTCACATGAGCGCGCGCTTATCTCGCGGTGGGGAGAATCGTACGCCTTGGGCTTTCACCGGAACGATTCTGTTCTGGTTACCGGGCGTACAAAGGTCACTGCACTCGTTGCACAGCCTCCGCTTGCGAAAAGGGCGCGCTTTTCAGACACAGCGAGGTAACAACTGAGACGCTTATTCACGTCCATCTGTACCTGTGAGTACGTTTCGTGCGTCATTTGTGCGCGAGAAAGCCAGACACGTTCCGATCTGCTTGCCATTCTGTGCGTGACCTTCCAATTTGTTGCAATCGCGTACATTGCTTCGCCTTTGCGGGAAAGCTGTAGCTTTTTTAAAGTGCTACGAATGTATGTTACATAAATAAACAAGCTTGTGCAGCACAGCTACTGAGAGTACTGTAATCTAAATGAACGAATAAATAAATAAATTATTTAATCACTGTTCCCTGGCTTAGGCTGCCCTTCACCAGTTATAACCACAGCAATTTTGTTTGTGCACAGTAAAAGTAAAGTATACGATATAGCAGAATCCCCGTAATTCAACTTCAACCATGTGCATGGTGAATCAATCAAGTGGTCTCAGCAAATACTAAATGGGAACTTGGTCGCAAAGCAGAAGTATGCCTCCGTCGGTTCTAGAACATTTCAGTCGAGGAATTCGTACAAGAATTGCAACGCAACCTACACATGCACATACGATTTACAAAGCTACAAACACAGCACCGCTATAGCGAACATTTGGAAACTCAACAAATGAGAGTCATTTCTTTGTTCTCACAAGAATGACCATAATAATGATAATGATCAATACCACTGTGAGGCGGCAGACACACTGCGAGCTTTGTACGGGCCTCACGCGACCAAAACGTGCGCGCAGGGGCCTCGCTGTCACGACTCGATAAGAAGGTCCCCGTGTTTCCCGCCGTAAACGAAAACTCGCCCGGAAGAGCGCGTTCTTCAGCACCGTCCGAAGACGCACGCGCGATGCGGTCAAGGGCGAAGTCGTGAGATCATGCGCATCGGACTGCCGCGTGCGCACGTCACACGTAGAACCGAACAAAGGGACCCCCAGGAAACTGTCTCCGTTAAGAGTTCTTCTGCGTGACCGTTAACCGAATGCCCTGGGAAACTTTCCGGAGAAGAAAGGCGCAAGCACACACCTCGAGCACCTTGGCGAGCGTCAGGCCCGCCCGGTGCGGGGTCTTGCCGGGTCCATCGCCTCCGTCACCGCCGCCCGGGTCGTCCTCCCCGGAGTCCTTCTCGATGCCTTCGTCATGGCAGTCCTCCTCGCCCGATTCGTCGTCCGAGCTCAACTCGGCCTCCGAGTTCGCCTCGGGGTCGGCGGACGTCATACGGTCAAGCAGCATCTCGAAGGGTCGGCTCAACACATGTTCTTCATCCGGTCGGAGCCCGTACTCGAGCGCGTGGAACAGTACTAGGCCAAGGCTGCACACGAGCTGCGGAAGACAAACGCACGTAATATAAGACAATGATCACAACGTACTACAAAGGAATATAACACACGTAAACTGCGCAGTTGCCTGCGATGAGAGTAATTTATGCATAATACATTCCACTTTTTTGTTTCTTTTCAATCTCGAAAGTGTTCCAACAGGCATGAAGTCAAGGAACTGCCCGGTGAGCTGGCTGCCCGATGCCCACTGCTGGCAGGCGCAGTCGTCGGATCTGTTTAGGCCAGGGCTAGTCCAGAAAAAGTGTCAAGTTGATGCCGGAGCCGAGCAAAGTGGGTAGGTACTCTCAAATGGTCCACGGAGGTGGCCAGTTGCCAAGTAAGCATCCCCCCACCCTCCCCACGAATATGGAGTGCAGTTGTGCATCACATGGTTGTGTTGCTGTACAGCTATATCAAGTTCACACTGATAATACCGGACAGCACAAAACTCCATTTTTCTTCCTTTACTTTTCATCTTCATTTTGTGGGCCACAAACCGCGCCGGTATGCCGCTTCGTAGAAATGCCACCTAATTAGAAAAACGACACGTAAATCAAGGACAATCCAAGATCACTTTCTCGTTCTAGAGATCATCTCGGAACCAAAGCCTAAACCAGCGAGCATTTATACATACATGTACATTATAATATTATATATTACACAAGCGCTAACAACTGCCATTTTCGCGCATCACCTGTCCCGACATTGGTAGAGGGGAATGTTCAGCGAAACGGAACAAGGCCGGCGCACACTTCTCTCTCGCGCATATCTCGCGAGCCCAGTGGTCGCAGTGCCGCGAAGAGGCCGAGTGGGGTTACACCTGCGGGCTTCTAAATAGGCACCAAAAGCGATTTCCTAGACGTTTTCGCAGCGCCGGTTTTGTGCGGGGTTTTAAGTGTCTCGGAATGGCGAAAAAAAAAAAGCAAAAGAAAAGACGGAAAGAAACTGCCACGCGCCTATAAAACGACCAAGCACGCAGAGAATTGCGAAAGCCGATTGGACAGGGGGGATTCGGCGATGTGTGCGCGCTTTGGTTCCTTTCGCTCCACGGTGGGAAAAATCCTGTTTTGACAGGGGGCATGCTTGAGGGGCTGAGAGGCCAGGCGGCCACTTGACCTCTGGATGCCACCGTTCTCGTGGTTGTGTGTGCGTGCTCGCCCCCTCCTCCGCACAAGGCGGCCTTATTTGGTCAGGGCGATGCCCCGATGCCATCTGCAGGACCCCGGAGATCGAATGGCGCTCCCGAGGAACACATGCCTGCTGGAAAGGCGTGGAATGCAGGAAAACTCCTAGCCGCCGCTAAAAGGGCCAAAGCACGAGACTTGACAGACCGTTCAACGACTTGTCTGTCGGCTTGACTACAAACGCGTCGGTAGTTGAATGGCTGTGAAACACTGCTCGACCACGCTGCCACGAATCTCAAGTGATGATTGATTGATTGATTGATTGATTGATTGATTGATTGATTGATATATGGTGTTTAACGTCTCAAAACCACCATATGTTTATGAGAGACGCCGTAGTGGAGGGCTCGGAAAATTTAGACCACCTGGGGTTCTTTAACCTGCGCCCAAATCTGAGCACACGGGCCTACATTTCCGCCTCCAATGGAAATGCAGCCGCCGCAGCCGGGATTCGATCCCGCGACCTATGAGTCAGCTGCCGAGTACCTTAGCCACTAGACCACCGCAGCGGGGCGATGCAGTTCTAGAGAGAAGGGCGCGAAATATACGAGGGCCACCGATAGGGGCGTCACCAAACTGCTTTTCGAAAGGGCAGGTCTGAACCCCTCGTATCAGGCGCAATGCCAAAAATTTTTTTCGGGGGGGGGGGGGGGGGGGGCTACGTTTTTGCTTAGTATGTATGCTGATGCGCGGGTGTATGCATGCGCTGACGCCTGTGTCGATAGATCTTCGCTATCATGTGGCCCGTACCCACTTGATATGTTATTAATGGTGTGGCCGTGCCTTATAAGGCCGGATTTGACTCCTTATATGGGCCAACCACGTCATATAGGGCTGTGTATAACCCCATACATGAGCCGACTCCGCCAGATATACATCCATATATGGTAAATGGAAGCCACTTATGCTGACGTATATGCTTATATGTGGCCACATATAACCTATATAGGTGCCATATATGGTATTTCCGTAAGGGCTGTTTGGACGTATTGCTCCTATAACTCACTTTGCCTTAATGCTTCGCCTAACGTATCAAAATGCGGAACGATGGGCCACATACACGACCCCTATACGACGATAGTAGATTTGCGTAAGCGCAACGCTCAGTTATAGTAAAAATGTGTCCAAGGAATTATTCATCCAGGCCTTCCCGAATAATAATAATAATAATAATAATAATAATAATAATAATAATAATAATAATAATAATAATAATAATAATACGATATCAACAAAGGCTTAGTAATACATTATTCCATAACAAAAAATAAATCTCGTTGAGCAAATTTAAACAATGAGCTAAAAAAAAAACATCGGCGTGTGAGTGTGTATGCCCATAAACCCATCTCGCTTTTATTCAATCTTCGAATGGTTGGATCGTTGCTTCTCTGGTCATAGAGATAAAAATAATGTTGGTGCTCTAATGAGACTACTTAAAAATAAGTTTCAGCCCCACCGCGGTGGTCTAGTGGCTAAGGTACTCGGCTGCTGACCCGCAGGTCGCGGGATCGAATCCCGGCTGCGGCGGCTGCATTTCAGATGGAGGCAGAAATGTTGTAGGCCCGTGTGCTCAGATTTGGGTGAACGTTATAGAACCCCAAGTGGTCGAAATTTCCGGAGCCATTCACTAGGGCGTCTCTCATAATCATATGGTGGTTTCGAGACGTTGAACCCCGCATATCAAAAATAAGTTCCAATGGCAGCGCAACATCGCATAGGTAAAATCAAGATCAGTGTCCCTGTAGTATCGTGATAAATCCCCAACGCAGTAATAAGCTCATCTAGCGACTTCACCACGACCTCGGCATGTGACGACCTGGTACCACAAAACCATCGGTGCGCAAGTGAAACATGTGCGTTTCAGATATACATTTGTAGTGCTCACATTCGGAGCTCGCCAAAAGCTAACTCAGTATAGAACGACGTGTCAGCCACATCCGTCCTTCTCATCTGTCCTCAGAGAACCTTTGCAAACGCCCTGGAATGGACGCCATGTTCTCAGGACAGTGACACGTCATCTATAAATCCACGACAATCCTGTATAATGATCACGTGTATTACGTAAACGGAAATGGGAGACGGTAACAAACAATATTTTTGGATCACAGTACTTCGTAAAGTGACGACAATGGGATATTGCAAACGCGATATATGAATTGATTACCAATCTAGTGCGCGTGCTAACTCAGGCTATAACCAAGAGGGACAGCGAATGAATGGTTGAACCAGCTAGCTCTGGCAGGAGGTGCTGTACAACAGTTGGAGCGTGCAACTGAATTACGGTCCGGTATACGAGAAACAGTAGAACGGCACGACATGTTGAACGATAACAGACGCCAGCCTTCGTAGACGTTAGTACCCATGTGTCCACATAGGTCATAAGCACTCACCACGGAGTAGGGCAGACTGGGTTGCCGTCCCCTCTTGATCACCTGAGGGGAGGGAGGTCCATCCACTCTCCCCCGTGAGCACGCATGACCGCAGACATAATACGGCTAGGGGAGAGGGGTCGGATGGATTTGTCCTGTCTCAGTATGAGGAGCATGGTGATGATGACGCAGGTTTTCGTGAATAATGGCGGCCAAAGACCCCCTCGTGCTGAATACCAAAAATTTGTTCACTTCCATCATTTCGGGAAACCTTCACGGACCAAAGGCAGGCCATTTCAATGCACGCCAGCGCTCCCCTTTCACTTTTTCATCTGTTGTGAAGGATGGCGTGTTTAGGACTCGGCTAACGGAAGTAGGGGGAGGTAAACGTTCGTCCCCCCCTCATAGAGAACCCCACGCACGTCCAGATCTAGAACTGAAATGCGCCTCGTGGTGATAGGAAATTGAAGTAATGGGCTACTGAAAGTTATTTCCATTGAATCACCATGATGTGCTTGTTATGGCGCTCCCGTTGGCATTAGAAGTTTTCGTGCTGGTTCCACGTGCATATGCCGAGTTCACGTAAGACGAGGAAAAGCACATTACGCAGGAATCAACGAAGTCATGAAAATAAAATACATTTGCGCTGTCATTCATTGGTATATGACATATATGAACTTTACTCGCGAAGCATTTTCGGGCAGTCAAGCTAAGCATCGAGTCGGCCGCTATGTCATTGACGCAGCATACGTTGACAGCCAGCCGTACTCGAGAGGCAGAAACGGCGGCGCGGCACACCGCCTCGCCCTGACCGCATGTTGCAGCTCAAACGGAAATGTGCCACCGAAGGAAACGTGTACGCCAGAGCTCCAGCGAACCATCCACACCTGAAATGGCAGCGGACAGAATGGCGAAAATGTGCACCGCATGTCTAAGAAAGCACGACACAAACTTTCTTCGCGAGGCCCCGATGCCTTCGTCGAATGGGAAACAAGTGTAGAGACTTGGGCTAGTTGATACGGGTTCATGATGACCGATGCTACAACGCATGAACATACGGGGGGAATCGGGACTGAGTAGCAAAGAGCACTCTTTTCTACTCTGCCCAAATTTTGTCCTATGTTCTGACGCTGCAAAATTGGCAACATTAAATAAGGCTCGCCCCGCCACGGTGGTCCAATGGTTATGGCACTCGATTGCTGACCCGCATGTCGCGGGATCGAATCCCCGCCGCGGCGGCTGCATTTTCGATGGAGGCGACAGTGTTTCAGGCCCAGGTAGTCGAAATTTCCGGAGCCCTCCACCATACGGCGTGCCTCAATCAAACTGTGGTTTTGGGAAGTGGTAGTGTATTATTATGGACGTTAAATAAGGTTCGACATGAGCAACGACGTCACATAGAAACACGTAGTCGGCCAAGAAAAAAAAAACGTGGCACACGCACCTCGCAC